AACCAATAAATAAAATAAAATAAAAAAGAATATTATTGATGGGATAAATTAAGCATGACCAACATCTATCAATAGGTGAAATATATTGTAACGCATGTACAGAACAAATCTTATACTGACATTTTGTGTTCTTTTAAACCTTCATAACACTGTAACTGAACTATTGGGAGCAGAAAAGGAAGAGAAAATAAAGATGTAATTCTCATCTCTACATTTACTTTACAAACATCCACAGTAACCACAATAGATCTAATCTGAATAATTTGCTTCCACAAAAAAAAAACATAACGTTTGATAAAGCAGCAGGACTGAAAGAGGCGGCTGCAGTTAAGAAGGTAGATCTGGTGGCAGTTTCAGGTCAGGCGGCTTTTCTGAGCCACGCCGTCTGATGATCAGAGCTGTATTTCACTGCCATACTCCTTCTCTCCAGAATGCTGACAGGTCTGAGAGCGGAGACTGAGACTCTTTTAGCTGCTCCCTTCAACCCACTGCTCAGTGCACACTTCTGAGCCACAGCAGGGGCCGGGACAATTGTTTTGACAGCTCTCTCCAGCAGTGTCAGAGAAGGGAATTATTCTCGAAAGTGGAACAGCTCAGCATGTAGACGAAAGCTTGACAAATGCTGTGTATATGTGCGTGTGCGCACGTGTACATGCATTTCTATACGTCTGTGAATGGGCTGTATGCATTTTAGTGATCATTGTGCTTGAATCAATGCACATTTGTGACTGCGAGTGTTCTTGTGAGAAAGTATGCTGATTCTGTGGAGCTTGCCCCTTGAATACTATTTTTACAGCAGTCAGTGCACCATTGTTTTAACCACAAGTCTCTGCGCATCAATCCCCAGTGGCCCTACTGCAGGGCTGAGTGCGGTTTCCTTTCCCAGTGACTGACCGTGATTATAATTGAAAGAGAATGAGCAGAAGTTCTAAGCAATGTTCAGAAGCTCTGTTTACATGCCTCCTAGGATGTGCTGTTATGCAAACGAGCGTGAGGAGATATTCTGAATTTAAATGCACAACTAAACAAAAGAGTTTTAACCATTGGCGCTTAATTCGTTTAGTTTTATAAGGAGAAAAGGAAATAGAACGTGTGTTTATATGGAGCAGTGATTGTTTAAAGGAAGACTGTGATGCTGCATTACTCATACCTTTTCATAATACTGTAGCTCATAGTCCAGGATGACTCCATTAGGCTGGTCAGGCTGGGACCAGGAAAGGGTGATGCTGTCCACAGTACGACTGACCTGGTGCATTATGGATACTGTAGATGGAGCTGCGAAGAGACAAAGACAGTGTATTAAAGAATCAATCACTACCGGTTTCACAGTCACACACAGAGAATTTTACAGCATCTTTAATCTCTCTGCCAAACACCAGGTTCTGCAAAGGTGTAATACGTAATGCCATAAAATCTGTGTAATATACTGCAGTCTCCTTTAGAGAGTCTCACGGCTAGACATGCAGGTTGGCAAGTTACAGCACTGACTAAACCACATAAGCAGCATCATGGGACTTCCCAGTATCAACTGATTTTCATGATATTAATTTGCACTTGTCATACTACTGATAACAGACCACCTCCTCCATATAAATCAAAAGACCACCACGTATTACATGAAGTAAGCCCATTGTGTAAACCACATAAACTAAACAAACAAATATAGTAAATCACATAAGTCACAATTGTGCTACACAACATCATTCTTGTGCAACAGTTTGGTCGCTACATTCTAATTTTATTTTGTTGTTTATGCATATTTCCTTGTTGATGGAAGCTTAAAGGACCAGAGTAGTGGTTTTCCATGCTACAAATTACATGTGCTTTAAATTGCTGCCAACAATCTTTCCACATTGTTTAGATTATTTTCTTACCTTCTAAGGCACACACATTGTTTTCCTGTGCCTTTCAGAAGGGCATTCAGAAAAGTTTAAGCATACTTTATATGGATAGGTCAATACAAACATTACTTTGTTATCTTTATTTGACCAATAGAGTTATAGTAAACTTTTTACAACACTGCTTGGTTGACTGATATTTTATGGAAGCTGATTACTACCATTTGAAGTTTGCAGTATCCCAAAATATACCACCAGCTCTTGGAAAGAACTGTAGGACCACTCACTGACAATGCAATTAACCATTAAAGTCTGTCTAAGTCTAAGTCTAAGTCTTTGTTAGTCTGCAATTTGATTTTTAAAGCATACTCAGATGAACAGAAACCAATTTTTTTTTTTGCAAAAAGGGCCAATCAAATTTTAAACAAATTATTTCAGCTGTAATGTGAAGTATACTTTATTTGTACAATAGTTAAAACTATGTATATGGTGCTTCAGCAGAAGCCAGTAAAATTGCCTAAAAGGTATAACTGCCAATGGTGGACAGGTGGACTTGTTTTGAGTCTTTTTTTAGAACAGTCTGGCAATAGTATTGAGTTACTTTATATTATTTTTAAGAAAACATTTTTCAAGATTATGCCACATTACCAAAGATTGGATAGTCTTGATTTTAATCAAATAATTGCATCCTGTTGCTTGATTTTATTCACATATTTTCAAGCAAACACAATGTTTAGACTCAGTGGTAGACTAAATGACTTGCTACATCATGGGTGGCCTATTATAATCTTGCATAGCCCAGTGACCTAAAACTTTGTACATTCTTTTTAGCGTAGCCATAAGGTCAGGGGGGCGTGATCACCTCAAGTACTCCAACCACCATTAAGATTAGTTCAGGGTGCCGTGGGTCAGTGTAAAGCTAAGAGAAGCTGAAGATAAAAAGCTCTGTCTGGGGAGCCTGGCAAGGCCTGCAGGCCTCTATGCCTGAGCCTCTCTGTATGTTTGAAAGGGTAGGGTGGGTTGGGGAGTCAGAGAGGGAGGGGTGCTGGGCAAGATTTATGGACACCAAGCCCCACGCTCATCCCCTGCAGGCCCGTGCTGCACACACACGCAGCCCTCAGCCAGAAGCACAGTGGCTCCCCTGAGTCCCTGCAATAAAGAGAGAAGTCTCTCCACCGGCACGCGTTCTCTATGGAAAATCCACTGACTGGGGAACTACAACTGACACGCCTCTATAACCTAAGACTCTAAGGCTGCGTGTGTGTGGTTTTAAAATCTTCCGTATATCATCTTTATTTTGGTGTTGTTCGTGGAAAGAAATGCTTACAACTAAGTATTAAGTAGACATTTGCACCTACTGTCCTAAATCAGGGGAGACATATTGTGTGTAGGTGACCACAGTGAGTCAGAGCCAATGATAAAAAGTCTCTTTTATAACCTTACTCATTCTCATCAGCTAATCAGCACTGCCTTGCGTGCCCTCTGACCCAAACCGAAGCATCCTTCTGAGGCAACAAATTAAGATGTCTCGTATAAACTGTGACGGTGAAGGGACTGAGTGTGTCCTCATGTGCTGCTGCCAGCAGATAATAAATAGATGTTCTGTATTTCATCTCAGCAAAGCACTTACACCATGATGGCCTCTGACTCTGCAGTGTACATGCATCATGCTTCTTTCCTGGAGCCGGAGGTACAATAATGTATACAGTATCCAGTCAGGACACCAGTCTCGGGAATCTCCTCCATCTCACTGTACTCACTAGTTTGTTTGCAGTCACAAGACGACAGCCTAATAAGGCAAATAGTTACTCTAAGGGGAACTCACGAGTATCCCATTACGGATGTACATATATTCAAGACTGCCACATGGCCTTTTCCTGCATAGCATTTCCATTAAACACACGGCGCAGCCATGCCTAGTAACCTGATCCAGGGCCAGAGAAACAAAGGCAGCTCATGTATTCATGTACAAAGGATGGACACATGCCAACATGAAAAGCTGTTGGAGGAGAACACTGTGGTTTTCTTCTGCTAAAGGACAACTTCCAGACAGCGGGGTGGCAGTCGCCATGTCTGAGCTCAAGAAACCGATAAGGGTTGGCGAAACAGACAACAAAGTGAGATTAAATTAAAGGAAGACATGACATTCAATGCAACTGTGTAAAAAAAAAAGTAACAATTTAAAACGTTCGGCTTGTAGAGAAAATAGCAATCCAGCTGTGTTGTGTATTTCAAGTCAATTCAGTACATGCATTTCAAGCTAAGCTGACATTCCACCAATTGACTCTGGAATGTAGTGGTATGCCAAGTCGACGTTTCATTGCAGCAAGGCCTACAGCAATGATCCACATATGAAAACCATTTTCGTACATCTAATTTACGTACTCCAAATCTACAAGTCTCCATTGTACTCCAAATCTTCAAGTGTACCTAGAATTTTTTTCCCCAACTTGATCTATAATTTAAAGGGTTGAGTAAATACTTGGTTTTCATTGTGTCAACATTATTCACTGAGTTATGCCACTAAATACATGTTTTAGTTGTTTCAAGCCATTTTCTTTGTTGTTACAATACTTATCTTTAAATCATGTGGATTGCAACCCATTATAGACAATTAGAAATTAAAAACAAAGATGTAAGAAAGTTTCCCAGTCATTTATGTACTGGAAGCCAACTCATCAGAAACTATGTCAAGTCATATCATTTTTTTCAAAATGGGTGAGCTCCGGTTTCACTGGATGCTTTATTTATAGGTTTTCTCAATGAATGCTCTATTCATGTTCTTAAAACTAATGAAGCGGTTATAATGACAGAGACAGGGATTGTAAGTTTATGTAATTAAATTAGATGGCTGAATTGGAAAGATAAATTGCCTTGATGAATATGTTTCTAACAGGGCTCACCCTTATACCACAGCGGAGTGAGGGAGCAGACAGAGGAGGGGGGGTAGTGCTAATCACACCTGATATCAGATCTTATTTCTCATGTCCAAAGTTAAAATTCATCATTAATGATTATTAATGTTACATACAAGGTGTTTCATTTTTCCTCTTGGCCAGACATGCTCAATGTTAGTTAAGATGCAGTTCAATTGAAAAATACAGTGTATTGCTTTTTGTCTTAAATATATCCAAGTCTGGAAGTAGCTCAAAGATAATCAGAGTGACAATAAAGAGTGAATATGCTGGGGCCTGGGTCCATTTGAAACTTTCAAGGTTGTATATCACATTGCTTAATTGTGAGAGGATGGGAGGCCCCAGCTGTTGTCAAAGAGTTAGGTTTCAGACCCCACATGATTACTCAGCCTGGGATCTGATATGAAAGACGGTGCTTTGGAGTCTATTGGAGCATGACGCTCTGGCCTTGGCCCAACAACACAAAAGCCCTGTTTTGTTCAACATCTCTAATAGATGTTTTAGTATTATGTTGAACACCTAGTGACTTCCCTGATCAATTAAAGATGGAGTTTACAGGGATATTTCCACTCATTAAAATCCAAGCCGATTTAATGGAGCATGGTTGTGCTAACAGACACAGAAGTGAGGCTTTTATCCATCCCATTAATTTACGTTTCTGTTATCTTTTATTATACTACACTCTTTTGGTGGGCTTCTCCACTCTGTCTTTGACCATTTCCTTGTTTAGGAAAGCTGGATTTCTACTGTTAAACCTCATTACTAAGAACTGCTATGAACATGCAAGGCTGGTGAAGTGAGACCATTGTGGATATATGGTAGCAGGGGGAGCTCAGTCATGGGTGCCCATGTGACTTCTGGGACAGTAACTGTTACACTGAGCCACGTTTAGAGGACCAGGTGTGGAAAAATCATAGTAATCAAAATCAAAATAGTGGCTTTATTTCTTGCAGTTTACATCTTTTATTGACAGCAAGAGATGACATCACCATGATTTGATCATTTTCGGTTTGGGCCTGTTTCAGCCTTTACAAACAAGCAAAGAAAAAAGGAAAAACCTCCCACATTTCCTGGCACATGAATCATATGCTTCTGAGAAAGTATATGTTTGAGGCCTTTTATCTGCATCTTTCTAACATCCTAATGTGTCTACAACCATGTGGCTCTGATATGATTAGACGTTCTGGTGCAGAGAGCAACGCTATGATTTGGGGAAAATGGGGGAGGTACCGAGAACAGGTCAGGGCTCGTAAATCTCTTTTCCTTTTCATTGTAAAAATCAGTTTCCCAACAGCGCAGTCTCCCCCAAAGGGCCCAAACCACCTGGTCCTCTACCAGGCAGCCTCCCAAACAGGCTGCCACCGCTCTACTCTCTCCGACTGCTGTCCATTTATGAGCGGCGCATCGAGCCGTCTTAAAGGGAGAGGCCCATATTTGCATGTACTTTTAGCATGCTGGCAGCTTGCCCTGTTTCCCCAGCTGCAAAGGATTGTGGGTTTTACATCTATAAAGATTTTCCAGT